CGAAGCCCCCGCCCACGCCCACCATGCCGCCCACGCCCACGCTGCCCACGCTGCCCACGCCACTAGACGACGACACTCCTGCGCACATGGACAATGCACAACGCAAAATTACATTGGGCCACCATCACAACAGTAACAGGTATTCATAATAAAACTAACACAGAACTAAGTGGCTCATCTCAATAAGAGGACATTATGAAAAATTTCCTTAAAAACTTTTATAGACAAAAGATAAAGAACGAAAAGAGAGTTAAGAAACATGTTTTTAATTTGATTTCTGAACCCACCTTTTGTTTAAAATTTTATTTTTAAAATATACCTTTATTCTGCAGATTTACTTAAAACATGACAGTGGATATTTTGTTACAACAAAGAAATACCGTTTTTTTAAAGCAAAACAAAAGTTTGGATGGCAAAAGATGATTATATTTCTGGCTGTATATTATAAGTGCTACTGCCATTTTTGTTTAGAAGCTGTCATTTAGAACTGTCTGTGAAACAACGAGATTAACTGTCATGCCTTGACGAGAATTCGTTTCCATTGTAAGAAACATTTATATATTATTATTATCTCATATGATGCTATCAACTTCATATATACTGTCGAAAATTGCTCCAACTTTAAACACTCAAATAAGGTGAACAGAGGCGCAAACATTCAATTGAAGAATACAGCGGCAAAACATGACAAAGAAAACAAGTCTCCTGTGTTCCCCGCAAGTAAACAATGGTATCAGGATTAAATAACTTTTGTCAATTAAAAGAAATGGCGTTGCTTAAAATTATACTTTTCATGTTTTAGTTATCTTTACAATTTTATCTACTAATAAAGTTAGTATGAGTTTTATTAGTTTACAAAATCACCTCCCATACAAAAAATAGACAAATCCTATTAAATAATTCAAATAGATTCTAGTATGTAGCCACTAACCAATGATCTGCGGCTGCGCTGCCGCTTGCGCCAGGGAGTGCATGGAGGTGGCCGCCTGCTGCACCTGCAACGCAACGCCGCATTACTGCCTACTGCCAGTATACATTTCACAGAACCGCAATGGGTTACGAGAGACAACATAGATGATTGATGGCACTTATTACTGTATTATATTGGATCCTGTATTTGTATGGCATTGTATTGTATCCCTAAATGAATTTCGATCCTACAAGCTTGAAGGCCCTGAATTCATATTATTTACTAATTTGTGGAAGTTACTCAATACTTAACGACTGAATGGATACATTGGTGTAAAGGTTGCATCATTAAATCAGTAAAATTAAATACAGGGAAATTGACAATTGTTGTGAATCATCCATAGCATACTACTGATGTTCTTACAATAGCTACTAAATACTGAACATATAACTCACTTCATTTTGAATAATGTAATATCAGATTTGCATACCTGTGAGGCGGAGTGCGGGGCAGAATGCGAAGTCGAATGTGGGGCAGAATGCGAAGTCGAATGTGGGGCTGAATGCGTAGTGGAATGCGGGGCAGAATGCGTAGTCGAGTGTGGGGTAGAATGCGAAGTGGAATGCGGGGCAGAATGCGAAGTCGAGTGCGGGGCAGAATGCGAGGACGAGTGCGGCGCTGAGTGCGGGGGCGCCGACTCGTCGGGGCCGCCGCGGCCGCCCGTGCGCTTCATCAGGCCGCTCATTGCGCGTCCATCACACGCTCACACCAACTGCCTGCAACACACAAGTTCTTTGTTATGTTTGCTGTTTAACATCAGGCAACCTCTGCAACGCACACACGGTCGAAAATGTCACGGACAAAAATAATTGTTACATTACATACATATAAGTAGTTAAAACGTTTGACTGAACGATGGGCTTATCAAATAAAAAAAAACATGGTGAAAATACTCAAAATATTTTAAAGGCATGTTATAAACTACCGAGAATACAATGAATGTAGTGAATGAAATGGCATATAAAAGTAGTACCAACTGCACAATAACGATATAAAATAAGACATTTTGGCAGAATAAGTATCAAATATGTAATAACTTTCAATTAATTTAAAACACCATCATTGAAGTTATGAGCATTTCTACACACATTACATAACTTTTTTGAGATAGTTAATTAGATCTAGAGAATTATATTTTTAAGCTGCTCTTATGCGTCGATTCAGGTACCTATGATACAGCTTTTATATCTATACTAGCTTTCGCTCGCGACTTCATTGACGTGGTATTAATGGAAAAAAAAAAACAAAAGCAAGTAGCCATGTGTTCTTCCAGACTATTCTCTATATATATGTCTATTCCAAATTTCATCGTATTCCGTTCAGCCGTTTAGTCTGCAAACACTAAAAAATATCCATCCATCCAAACATTCGCATTTATAATATAAAGTATGATCTATGCACTTAGCTAAATTCCTGTACAATACGACCGATAATAAGTGCCAAGATATGGCACCCTTCGCCACAACAACACAACAGGGCCGGACCAGGCGGGATCACACCACGTGGTGGCCACACGACCATGACGTCAAGGTCCGCGACATTAACTAACGACAACGCACAAAGCAAACTAAGAAGTTAATATTTAAAGCAGGTTAATAGCGCAATATCATTTTATATACCTAAATTTATTACTAAAATTGAAATGGAACGGTGCGGAATTCCTCAGAGGACATGATTTCCTAAGTAACAGCTGCCGACCGGTTCGGAGCTACAGCGATCACAAACCTGCACTTGTTGTTTGTAGCGAAATATAAATCGATAACCTGTCGACTTGACAAACGTTGCAGGACGCCATTTCGACAGTTTCACTGCAACCGCGCCATCGATATCCCGCCTTTTTTAACGCGCATTTTGAAGTCGAATGTATCCCGAGACAGAGTTGCTTCGCGACAAGTCTTGTAAATTTATATTATTACTTCCACAATGAATCATAGCGTGGTTACGAGTAAGCTAATATCGCCTTTCCGGATATATCAGTAAAGTCTGAATTGTTAAAACTAAGGAAACGGGGACAGCGCGGCGGCATTCGTCATACGTAGAAAACGGCTATTCAATACAAACAATTATATCGTACCCGAAACAACGCTTATTCTTCACTTACATTAATTACACTATAAATAAAAGCTATAATTTTTTTCCTTTTTAAAATATCGATCGACTAGTAAAAAAAATAAAGGCTATACATACCCGTAGACTGCACAATCGTTTGAATTGTTTCTTTGAAAAATCAAACTATTCGAGTCAAACTGTGATTGAAGTGATAAAAATTGCGACAAAATCACTATCTGACATATTCCGGAGTAGCGAGCAAATTCGTGCGCCTCCAAATAGCGCAACGGCGCAACTTTTTTGAGCGCGGCGTCAACACGGTCAGGTGGGCGAGGTTGCGACACCGCCATGTCACCGTCCTGGCCCGCGCGTCCCTCTCGCTCGCAGCCCATTGTCTCTCTCGCACTCGCAAGAGCATCTCGTTCGAGCGCAGAATTACGTAGTCCCTAGGTACGGACGTCGAGCACCGAGCCGCGTCACCGACTGACTGAAAGCGGGTGCGAGTTCGCAAGCCCTAGCCCGAGCGCGTGGCCGCGGCACAGCAGCGCCGCCGAGCCGCCGAGTACGGCAAGTACGGCAACCTCGCATTCCGATTATAGAGAACGAAACGGATGCACCAACAAAGACATCGAATGCCGCGACCCAACTTCAGCTATGGATCTCCACTCACTGAGGTGGTGGACCAAAACACCTTTCTCTTAAATTATACAACACGCAGCCAAACATTACTTCTCTAATAGATTCCAGAGAAATATATTAAATTACTTGTATTGAAAAATAATAAATTTAATTTACTGTTGAAGTATAAATAATGTTTCCTGCAAACTATTACAACCCATTTAGCATCTTGTACCAAAACAAGTATTAGTGTTGGTAGTTAATTGAATTGCTACATGGCAAAGATTAATATCCTAATTTCTAGCAGTAAAGTTAATATTCAGAGATGCAAGGGATTATTTAAGTGATCAAATACTCATTCTAGCAATCACTGCTACTGTGGACAGTAAGAAACAAAAATTATGCTTCTGCATGAACTCCTGTCAATCCTAATATTTAGATCTAGATCTAGAAGTTTAGATTTTAGACTGGTGAAACCCAAGATGAACTAGATTTTAAATTAGTTTATGAACTAGGCATACCTAGTATAAGCAAACATAACTCTTTAGTTAGATGTTAGTCATAACAAACATCTAACTAAAGAGTTATGTTTATTAGGACCATTTATGAAAACTGAATGACATCTCATTCATAATGGATTCACATTGTTGTTTAGGCTTTTTTAATCCTAGTGCCTCAGTAGGTCACAGCAGAGTAGAACTATAGTCAGTTGGGTAAAAATAACCAGTAACAAATAGTAATATGAAAACTATTTTATACATTTATCCTATTAAGAGCAGTTCTGTATCGTAGTTTAGTAGTTCTAGCAGCACAAGCTCATTTGTATAATAAGTGTAGGTACCTAATAAAATAACTGTAGTTTTTAGGCATTTCTACTAACAAAAAAAATTGTAAGGTTGTAATAATGAGGATACCAATGCCTAAAAGCATGTTCAATATTAAGTTTATTTACACCCAGCGCACACCATGCCTCTACATCGTTTCGTCATTCCTGTAGGGTATACCTACATTGTCAAGGAGAAACATGTTTATAGCAACAATAATGTGTGTACGGCACGACGCGCAATACGGCTTACAGCCTTGAGGTCTGTTATCTACTGGCCGGTTGCTGTAGAAACCTGCGACGGCGCGCTCCGTCTTCACAGTTCGATTGCGGCGTTGCCAACATTCCGCGCACTCTATTACCTTCACTTTACTATCATTACGTCCTACTTAAATGCCGCCATTTTGGTTCAATTCAAAGTCAGGTGCAACTATTTACCAATATCGTATATATTTTTTGTCATTTTTACTCATAGGTAAAAGATACAAATAATTAGATGTACTTATTAAAAACCTTACGTAATTTTAAAATTCGAAATACCTACCACATGGTGTAGTTATGTAATCCCTAAATTACTATTCAGTAGTTATGAATATCAATAATTAGCGACTATTCATTGCGATGGACATTAGCTATAGTGAGAATACATCTGTGGCATGCCTGGTGTAGACACGATGTCTGTGTCGGCGTATGGCGGATGGCAGTAACATAGCCTAGGTGATACGTACATTGGACGGGTCGGGAGCCGATGCCTAGTGAGGAGCGCACGCTCCGAGTTTCCTGGGCTTGGCCGACCAACGACCAGATTAATCACAGATTCAGACATTTTTGCTATAAATCCACAATATCGATCACGCACACCCGCCATTTTGATCCGACACTAAACGGTAAGTGGAAGTGGATGGGCAGGTTCTGATCGCGGCGCGGCGTTGCCACGTCGTTATCGCTACCCTATACGCACTTCTATTTCTGGCTCACTCGGCATACCGCCCCCGCCCCTCTCACCGCCCCGCTGCCCTCTGACACACTACAAACAAAACGCTAATAAAACATGAACGCCAACTATTTTGCACTTTGCTGGCAGTAGTTACAATCAGTCTGGCAATACTAATGGTTTGTCAATTAGTGTTTTATAAAGATGATAAAACGAAGCAATACAAGTTAATCTTGTCTTGTTTTATTATTTTAGGTAGTTAATGCCTGCGTGATACAGATACAACGGGCTTCGGGCCGGCTTTCACCGGCGCGGGGCGAGGCGGGGCGGCGCGAGCACATGCCATTGGCCAGTGGCCACCGCAGGGATCGATAGACAAACAGCGTCGAGGACGCCGAGCACCGACCCACATGCTATTGTCGGTCTTGAGCGGCGTGCCATAGAGACCATTTTGCATCGATACTAATTATAAACAAACTATATTGAACGAATACATTGACGTACTCACAATCACAAAGGCTCACACTGCACACGCACACCACAGCAGTTACTACTGACTATGGGCCTGTGGAAACGACGCAACCGGGCGGTGGAGGAGCGAGACCCCAGCTATGCTATAATGTACATCATCAAAATAAATTATGACACTTTTCTAAAGACGAAATTCCTATACTTCGGCACACCTAACCCTTCCCCAGTCGTTCTCAAGGACAAAGACTTATTTTCGAAATATAAAAGAAAATGCCGGCATACAGAAGCCTGTAATCTTGTTTACAATAAATAGAACTATGCGTTTAAGTGATTGGGTATTGCAATCGTTTTCGTGCGACGTTACGTGTATCCCATTCTTTTTATTATACATTGTTACATATGTATAAACCGATCTTATCACTTTAGATGCGCAAGTTAGAATAAATTGTTACCGATATAGTCAAAAAGAGGTATGACATGTTGTACTTTAAAATTGTTTTTCCCTCGTTTTATAACGTTTTTAAGAAAGCTATTGGATATGACTAGTTTAGAATTGGAAAGACGCAATCTGTCAGACAGTTTACTTACCTCTATTTTACTTAGAACTCGTAGTTTTCTTAACTAATTTCACAGGAATCTCACTTCTCGATTAAACGAAAACGTCAATTATGGTATTTTAAGATTTAGGAATAAATTTAGATCCACAAAAGAAATACTCATAACGCTAAGTTTAAGTCAAACGTCGTCTAACTGCGAAACCTGCCGCAACAGAACTGTTCGGCAGTTGGTCGGCTCGGGTCGGTTGACTTTACTTGAGGTGGGGGAATGGCGGGCGGAAAACTATAGAACGGGTGAGCAAGGGAGGCAAAAAATAAACATTATTTAATGTATAATATTAAATAACGTAGCAGATACAGATTACTTTTATATATTAATAAAACACTCTTTCTTTTGAATTTACGGGATTATGGGATTTTTATTCTATATTTTTATAAAAAGTAGGTCGTTTGACATTTTTACAGTTCGATTGACGAGCGGTTTTGGAATTAAGTTCGGGTTAACGCATTTGAAACACACAGAAGCACGATATCGTGGTCATTTGTTTCCATTTATCTCAAGGTTTATTTACAAAAACGTTTAGGTTTAATCAAAAGTATGTAGAGGAAATTGTCCTTGTTATTTATTTATAGCTTATTATTGCATATGCCTTTATTGCAATCATTTTTAACATATGCCAATACCATGCTAATCTTTCAGTGACCAATCCCGTTTGAGTGCGTGGTTTTGACTTTTGACAGAAAAAGATAATGATAACATAACACACGTAGCTAGTATTTAAAAATTTCAGAATCATTTGTAGTTTTCCCGTCTGGTTATAAAGTTTATATCTAGTATTCGTATTTTGTAAATCTTCACAATGCGATTGATTTCCGTAATTTTAAGTTCGCTATGTTTCATGTTAGTTTCTGCAAAAATAGACCCGCAAAATTTAAAATGCCTTGGTATGTAATAAATATTATTTTGTCAAGGAAAATTTACTTGTACGTTCTAATGAGGAAAATTAAATAATTTTCAGTTTGTCGCCAGACGTTCGAAGAGCTGAATAAGGTTATCAAGAACGTGGAGAAATGGAAAAAAGTGGATGTAAGTACAGCATTGTTAAATAGTGTTTGTTTTTTACAGGTTTTGAAGATGTAGCCTAATTTTGCCTATTGAGTTTTTATGTATATATGTCTTACCATTGCGACCACATGTAGGATAAACTAATGAACCAATATTATCAAGTAATGAGTGAAAACATGTTCTGTGCTGCCACCTCTGATACAACTTCTGTATATAAATAATTTTCCTTGTTTCAATCCAAGACCTAAAGGAAACAAAAGACCGGTAAATTCCATACCTTGTATTATATTGTACTTTTTAGTTATTTTGTGAATATTGTGGGAAACAGCACAGATTGTACAGTAATCTGCTAGAATTTTGGAGATTTAAAGACTTTTTCTTATAAGCCAATGATGCTGAGGGAAAATGAGACACAGGACATGGGAATATCCTCTATATATTCCTATTGTTTTTCATAGATTGATTGCAGATTGCAGCAACACATCTGCAATTGTGGATGTCTAAGTCAACAACTGCTTTATTTTTTTCAGCGAAATCAGATGGCCTTTTTCTCATTTACAACCTTATCATATAAAAAAAGGATAGTTTGTATTTGGTTTGAAATGGAATGCTTATATCCCTATTGTATGAAAAATTATTAAACTGCACATTAAAATGTTATTTATAAACTATTGCTACAAGCAACATGACATTTATTCTATCTACAGATTAATAATAATTATATAATGTTTATAGATATGGGTTTCTTACCATGATTAGATTATTTTAGCTCCTGTCCTTATGACTAATCAGTATCTTACAGACATATTTGTAAAAACCATGACATTAAAATAATCTTACTAATATTATAAATGCGAAAGTTTAGATGGATGGATGTTTGTTAGCGTTTGTAGCCTAAACGGCTGAACGGATCTCCATGAAATTTGGCACAGGTTTAGAGCATAGTCTGGAAGAACACATAGCTTACTTTTTATCCCGGGAATAGTTACGGTTCCCGTGGCATTCATTAATTTAGTTTATTAATGTTCACTCGATCATTCTGCAACGGTTTAACATATCTTATTGAAATTTGGTACAGATATAAAACAAAGTCTGGAGTACACATGAGATAAGCCATTCATCCTAGAGAAATGTCCGGTTCCCGAGGGATACGTAGCTTTTTGTAATTCATGTAGTTCCTATGTTTTCTAATACCACGCCAACGAAGTCGCGGGCAACAGCTCGTATAATAATAATTCAATAATATTGTACATATATTTAGTGAAGTATTAAGAAGATAATCCAAAATTACAGGTGGGCAACTTCAGAATGGATGCAGATGGCAACACCATGCAGCAGAAGGTGCCCGCGCACCGTTCTTCTGTCTACATCTCTGAGCTCATTGACAGCATCTGTGAGTATCAAGTCCCCATCCACGGCAGTCATGTGTGTGTAGCCTGCTGCGAGAAGTTATCAATAAAATAGATAAATAATTGAGCAGATGACAATGTTAATATATCATTTTTTATAAGAAAATTTACTATTGGTTTAGATGGATACTTAACTAACTATTCTCGTAACCCTTTCTTTTTTTTTATTAAAAGGGGGCAAACGAGCGGCGTAAGTTAACTTAACCAAAGTTAAACACTTAAACATGAAACATTAAACATAGTCAACATGTTCTTCTTGACTACATTCTACATGTATTTTAAATTTCATTGACAATTCTTCAACTGTTATGGATATACTTTCTAACATACATTCATACATTTAAATTTTTGCATTGATAATGGTAAGAAGTAAGATTACTGATGGCCTGTAATTACAAAGTGTACCTACTCGGTGCAGTAATTCTCCTATGGTGAAATGTGACATAAGTCTCGACGAGTGGGGCCGAGTGTCGGTAGTTGTGCAGAGTGGTGCAGTGTGGTGCAGTGTAGTGCAGTGCGGTGTAGAGGGCGGGTGTGGTGGTTGCAGGCAAGAAGATGGACGACTACGTGCGCGTGTACTACAAGTCGACCGGCAAGCTGGCCATCATGCAGCTGATGACGGAGGAGGGCGGCATGAACCCGGACTTCAGCAAGACCAAGTTCGTCACCGACGACGACCTCAACAAGAGCCTCGAATACTACGTAAGTAGCACACACTCACACTCACACTCGCCTCCGGGAACATTCATTATATATTTCACTCAATTTAATTATAACTTGAATATTAACTATTTAATAATGAACATTTATAAGTAAGAACAAAAAACAAAGTTAAACTACATTTGGGCGGTTGGGCCAATTTTAGAAGGAAAATTGATTTTTTAAAAATTACATCTTTTTTTTTTTTGAATCATTATGAATGGAACATAGTTTGTATTTAAATGATGGATATTAAGGTACTAAATTCTTGCAAAGCATTTGATCCATCAATGAGGAAATAGCCTGTACAGTATTATTTTAACAGTGGTAGTGCCTGCTTTAACATGTTAGCACTGTAGGGCTCGCCCCCAGTAATACCACGATCACACAGAAGACAGACGTGAAATGGAAGCAATTCCGTGTACAGTCTGATGAGTGTGGTGCCGGAAGCCTAATTTAAGTCCCTTTCTCTTTACCACTCTTTTCTTATAAAGAGAGGATGGGAAGAGGAAGTGGATTTGACGGAGGAGGAGATACATAGGAAGGGGAGATATCCTCTTTATGTGCGTTTCCTCCTCTGTCAGATAAGGGTGGGTAACGCATCTGCAGTTGCCCATAGACATGGCAGCGGTCGCTTCACCATTTTGGCGGATTCAGGTGGGCGCTTGCTCGTTTGCCACCTTACGTTATAAAAAAAAAGTATAGTGTGGCACACTTGTATGCGCAGTGCGAGCGCATGTTCGAGGAGAGCGAGGACGAGATCACGTCGCTGTACAAGCTGCGGCCGCACGACGACGTGATGCCCGACGCGGAGCAGGCGGTCAGTACACAACAGTGGTAGTGCCCGCTTTAACATCTTAGCACTGCAGGGCCGGCACGCCCGGTGTAATACCACGACCACACAGAAGACAGGCGTGAAATGGAAGCAATTCCGTGTTTCGTCTGATGAGTGTGGTGCTGGAGGCCTAATTTAAGTCCCTTTCTCTTTACCACCCTTTTCTTATAAGGAGAGGTTGGGAAGAGGAAGTGGATTTGACGGTAGTAGAGATGCATAGGAAGGGGAAATATCCTCTTTCTGTGCGTCTCCTCTTCCGTCGTATAATGGTAGGCAACGCATCTGTAATTGCGGATGTCTATGGGCAGCGGTCGCTTCGCCATTTTGGCGATTTCAGGGGGCCGCTTGCTCGTTTGCCACCTTATGTTATAAAAAAAAAAAAAAAAAACACGCACCACACCACAGTGCAAACATACGGATACATCTGCACTTTTTGACTAAAGGATATCGTGTATTTACAAAAATACGTCATCTACATCCACCCGTTGTTGCCTGCAAATGCTGCTTTTTTAATTCAACCTCTCTGCTGTTTATACGTCGACTATACGGCACCCGCGTGTTTGCAACACCTCCATGACTAGGCAATGCGACTGAGAGGAATTGTTGAGTGCGCAGTTAACTAAGTTAAACAATTATTTAGATGTTTTCTTTTGTAATAATTTGGCATGTTTCGTAAGTACATCCGTTACAAAGTATCCGGAGGGCAGCACGCGTGTGTCGTGTGGTGCGTGTGGTGCGGTAGTGGCATGCAGGCGTGTGTTGCGCAGATCTGCTTCGAGCACACGAAGTACTGCGAGCGGTGGATGTTGCCGACGGCCGAAGACACCACGTGGACGCCGGAGATGGAGGCCGAGTACGTCAAGGTGAGCTCCCACACGCTCTTCTCTCTCACCTCACAATGAAGCATCTTATGTTTTATACAGAAAAGATTTTTGTATGTATTGAAATAACTCAAAAACTACTGAACCGATTTCATAAATTATTTCACTGTTAGAAAGGTAATTTATCTCGGAGTAATATAATGTAGGCTACATTTTTTAATTTCACGCGCACCAAGTCGCCGGCAATAGCTAGTAAATTTTAGGAAGTACGAATATTTCTTTTTACTTGTCACATGAGAAGTTCGCTTTTAGACCCCGAGATGAGGAAAAGTGTCCGTTTCTAGCAACTTCTCTACAATATGAAATGAAATGAAATGAAAATGTATTTATTGTCACAAATTAGAAATTACATAAAAAAGACTTATTCCAAAGGAAACACAATCGTGGCAAAAGGTAGCCAGCTCAGTACGCAGGACGGACTAAGCCGTTCCTGCGCTGATTTTCAGCTGGCTCCTTCGCACTCAAGTATCATCATATATCTTAATCATTAGGGTAATCGGCCGTATTAATTACATATCTATACATTAATAAACAATAAAAATAAAAAATGCACTTTTAAAAAAAAAAAAACCACATCAAACAAAAATGGGTCATCATAAAGAAAAAAAATATCAATTGTATCATCAAAGCGATTATGAAGAAGTTAGGTTAGGTTGCTACTAACTGTTCATCCAGACCGGTCAAAACTGACACAAGTAATAAGAAAAGTACATTATTCTGCGGTGTGGATGTACAGATACATGGACCTGACCCGTACGGGTTCGGAGGCGCGCCGCCCCCCGCCCCCGACATGCCCGAGCTGGGGGAGCTGGGCGAGCTGGGCGAGCTGGGCCACAGCCCGCCGCAGCCGGAACACGACCTGGGCGAGGACATGGAGGCGGAGGAGCATCACGACGAACTGTAGCCACACATCCCTACACCGTACTCTATTCACTTTACTTATTTGTTGCCATTTCCCTGACTATAGAAATGTTAAACATTCTTGTGGTTTTATTTAGTTGTAAATGTTGTGTCGGAGGCATTTGTTGAGGAATGCTGGCTGCATGTGGTGCGCCACGCTTTGTTTGTGATAATGAGCAGTTGTGAGATGCCATCCTGTGCATAATTCAGGCCCCAATTAACTCTTAGCCGATTATGAGTGCCCCTTAGCGGTTGCACAAACTGTAACATGAAACATGGTATTGTATTGTATGGAGAAAGTTATTTTTGTACGACATTGGTATGTTATAAACGTAAGAATTCATAGTATTTCTAATACTAATGTCGCCCTGTCCGAGCCGTTCGTTAACAATAAATGTAATGTTAATTTTATGTTTCGTTTTATTTTTCTTACAATATCTGTAAATGATGTTTGCAAACCTCAGTAGCGCAGGAACCTTGTCACCTTTTGTCATATTCTCTTTTTATAAGATGTACGGAAAAGGGGGGGGGGGTTTACACAAGACATCAACCACATAAAATTACAAATTTGGTTTATTTTTATAACAGAGTAGTTAAAATTGAAGTATAAAATATTTCGATATTATTAAATATATGGTGAGCATGCGCCCGCAGCCCCCACCCCGCAGCGACTCACTGAATATAATTATAAACATAGATAATACTCTCACACAGATAATACTATACAAGATATCCCACACTACCTGCCTGCCCCCTGCCGCCTGCATAAACACAAATAATAATTGAACTGATCTGCTTCACGAACTGACTATGGCATAGTCACCCCTGATTAGGGTAGGCTCCGAGCCCCTCGGTGGGCACGCAAAGTGAGCTGGTGATGATGATTGATGATTGCTTCACGAACATGCGAACTGTGACCTCATTGATTCGTAGTTCAATTTCAGGCGTTTCTCAAATCTCCCGGCATGGGAATGTGTGAATATTTATAAAGGTAGTATCCGCACTTATATTCTAATCCATCTTCCTCGCCTCGTACATTGTTCAAAAAACATCGAGTATCAAAATACTTTTGTGTCAATAAGAACACGTCAAACTTACATCGTTGATGTATAATCTACAGTAGAAGAGATTCGTATAACGTCAAAATTCGATTTAGGAATGTTGTTTCGTATTGTAAATGACAATAATGAGGAAAGTTATCCCAATAAAGTATCTCCGGAGAGGGAGAGGGAGAGGGAGAGGTGGCGGCGGCTAGCAGCAGAGCGGGCGCGGCGTGGCGGCGCGCGGCGCGGGCACGCTCCACGCGGCCAGCTCCACGCGCCCCGCACTGCCCGCGCCCTCCCCCGCACTGCCCGCACCCGCCACACCTGCACACAACACAACTGACGTCACCACACGCACTGACACAGTAATATATCTAATTGTTTAACCTTCACCAAATTGAAGAATTTCACAAGTACTTGTGTAACACATATGTCATAATTGGCAAAACGACGCCAGTCAATGTCCTACTTCACCGCCGGGTACGTGGGGATCTCTGCACTTAGCTACTCTATCTATATATGGACGAACTAGAACATTAATTTTAGAATGAAAATGTAAAAGCGTGCAACAGTACCGAGAGGCGGGCGCGGCTGGCAGGGCTGGCAGGGGTCGCCGGGCGCGGCCGCGGCCGCCAGCAGCGCGGTCGCCGTGCTCACGAACACGTGGTCGATGCCCTGCGACACACGCACACGCACGCGTACAGACAGACCGGCAGAGCGGGCGGTGGGAGCGGCGCAGTGGGCAGTGTGGACAGTGCGGTACCTGGTCGTGCAGCGCGGAGGTCTCGGTGTAGGGCGCGCCGAGCGCGGCGGCGTAGCGCGCGGCGTCGGTGGCGGGCACGGCGCGCGCGGCCGCCAGGTCCGCCTTGTTGCCGACGAGCGCCAGCACGAGCGGGCCGGCGGCGTTGCTCTGCAGCTCCTTCACCCAGCCCTTGACGGCGGCGAAGCTCGCGCGGCACGTGATGTCGAACACGAGCAGCGCCGCGTTCGCGTTGCGGTAGTACATGGGCGCCATGCTGCGGAACCGCTCCTGCCCCGCCGTGTCCCACACCTGCCGGCCGAGCCTCGCGTCAAGCGCGCCCACGGCGAATGCGAGGGAGAGAAGTCCCTTACCGACCTCTGCTTTTCTTTCTCATGCATTTTTTACTTTCCAAGAATGACAATAATAAAACTACATTTAGTTGATACTAGAACATGATAGTTAGGATTTTTGTTAGTTTTGCCAAGCGATTTTATAAAATTAATATAAATAGATTTTTTTGAGGTAATAAGATCATGCAAGATATGTTATTGTGCGGAGAGTGGAGTGCAGCATGCAAGCACAGCATGCTTTACCTGCAGCTTGACGCGCGCCTCTGCCAGGTTGATGTTGCAGGTGAAGAAGGAGGCGCCGATGGTGGGAGAGATGTGTCGCGAGAACATTTTGCCGATGTACCGCACAACCAGGCTCGTTTTGCCCACGCCTGCAAGCGGTGAGACCAGTTCAAAATTCATTATATACAATATTTGATTTGGAAAAATTGTTCTAGACTTAAATTTATGTTAATTTATCGCGGAAACGTCAAACTTATTGCATACAAATTTAGAAAGTTAAAATGAACACTCAAAGACAAGAACATTATGAAACAATCTTCAAAGAATTTAAAATACAACTTACTTATGCCTCTGTTTATTACATGTCTTTAGGAAAATGGAGCAAAAGAACAGCAGAATAATTACTGAGAGCAAGCTTTCTAGTACAAAACAGCTTTGTTTGATTACCAATCACATTTTTTTTTACAAAATTAAATTTACTATGACAGAGATTAATAATTCCTGCATCACTGGGCTGCACATAAATATATAAGGGCTCTGGTCTGAGAGATTAGAGAAAGGAACTTGGCATTTCTTAGCAAATACAAAATTTCCTTTAACAGGAGCGGAAACTTTCCTTTCCCTTAACAAAAGGAAAGGAAAGAAGAACTCACCCACCCCACTCTATCATTTCCTTACTACCCAAAACCTGCCATTTGTTTTTAAACTTTAACATAAACAGAATATGTTTTATAATCGAAGGTTTTAACAATTGACCAAATTTGTCTTAAACTGGTCTAAGATTTCGGTATAAAGGTAAAGACAAAAACAGAACTTTGACTAATTTGAGCAGACCTGTTGTCACTCTGCAGATGTTAAATAAATGTAGTGTTTATAAAAACAATGTTGGATGAATATCTTATTAAAATGAAGAATGTTGGATACAAGTTCTAATTGAAAGTCAATTTCTATTGTAAATGACAGCACTGAAGGGATTTACCGCAGGAAAAGGACTGTAGATGCAATTTTTTGACCTATTTTTGTGCCGGATTTGCTACCGATAGGTTATATATCTATAATTAAATGTAATTTTATATATACATGTAAATAATATTATTGTCAAATATCGTAAAATCCTTAATTATAAGTTAATTTCAAGAAGTATTAACGAATTCGGTGAAGCGTGACTAGTGTATGTATTGGTATTAATTTGCCAATTTCCTGATAGTTCCGTAATCGAGTAGTCATGTCGTAACAAATACAATCAAACAGTTAATTTCGTAATTCGTACCTTGTGACCCTAACACCACTATTTTGGCTTCTATCACTTTCATTTTAATCTACACCTTATGCACTATTAACGTTTAAAATTCAGTTTATGAAAATATCCATTCACAAAGTATAACTGCGATTTTCACATATAAAGTTAAACGAAAAGTTTAAAACTTTAAATAAACTAACGTGCACTTTCATTCTTCGCTAGAGACCTACTAGAGGCAGAGGCGGCCAAACAAGTTTTCTTTAATTTAAAAAGCATTTAATTTGGTTTACTGGTCTGCTTGTATAGTATGGGTTTTTGTTTAAAGGTGTTTTGATAACTTATAACATTCTCTATTATTTTGTAAACTTGATAATTAACAGTTGACAGTGACAGTGACGTAAGTCCTGTCCCATACTACAGTCATAGAACTCTTATGCGCGGTTCACACTTGGCCAGCACAGTCGGTTAGTAGAGGCCGCGAGTCAGGAAATGACTGGTCTGTCTCTCGACTGGTACAGTGTTAACGCTAACTGTAACTTAACTTCATTGTAATGATTTTTATTTTTAACTCAATTGTTTTATTTCTTTTACTTTATATTTAAGTTGTGAAAACGATGTTGGCTACAAAATCACACTATGTTTGCTATATATGTTATTGATGTAATATATTATGTAGTTGATAGTTATTCTGAATAAATAAAAAAAAGAAACTGCCTTAGTGAGCACGACTGGCGGATGACTGTGAAAAATCCAGCCATTCCGCTGCAACTGGCGTAGTGTGAATGATCTGTCCTATGTCCAAATCTGTGCTGACGTAACAGGTAAACCGGAACCACACGCTGTGTATTTGGTGGATTGCGCTCATTTCATTGGTTCTGACGAGTACTATAAGACTATTTTTCTACAAACAACGAAAGATATCTGGCAACTCTAGGAAAGGGAAATATCGGACATGTGTTTGTAGCCCTCTCACACCTTTCAATTTCATTTTGCGTACAAGACTCTTACGCCCTTAGCATAAGGTTTTATTTTCTTTATTTTAACTGCAAGATGAACAGAAAAAACACACTCCTGTTCTACGTAGTACTTATTACCTCCATGGCTTTGAATGAGTAGATACATACGTCATAACTTGAGATTGATATCGTTGTGTATGTCGCTGTTATAACGTTTTCTCACGAAAATTGTACTAATTCAGCTATCGAACCTTGCGCATTTTTTCATCTTACACTATGTTTATACGACTTGTATAGAAATTTTTTATATTCTGCATAATACGAGCATAGCTGCGATTTTAGACTTATTTAAAGCCAAAGGTCATAAAACAACTTTATCAGCGACATGGTTACTTTTATCAAAAAAATAAATAGGAAGAAGTTGTAGATCATAAAATTACCTATTAAAATATATACATACTTTTTTCCATAAGAGCCACCGTTTCCGAGATACCGCCATTTGCATGTGCAAATTGGATCGCAATAATATGTATACGTTCCCAAATATTTACGGAATCAAACAAAACAAACAGTAATTTAAAATTAATGAGCGAGTAAAGCTTGCCCTGCAAAGTTGTTATTTTGGCAGAGCTTCTTTGTTCTGTCTGACAACTGAGGAGCTGAGCTGTCCAGGTGGTAAGGGAACGATTTATTTACATTTTTCCTGTGAACTGCCCCCCTACAAACACAATGGCTGCGGCCGTCCCAAGGAAAACATTTACAGAGATTTTCCTCATACCAGTTGTTTCAATTACATATTTTGTTCTAATACGTCAATGTTATGACTAATGTCGGTATATTGTTTTACTTGTTTCAAATTTCCCTTGAATTTACAGGAATACCAGCAACCGTGAGTAGAGTAACAGCGATTGCGCAGGACGCTGGTCGCAGGGCTGGCAGTGGCGGCAGGACGGAGGTCACGCATAGTTAGAGGTCTGTGTATTTTTGGCTTTGAACCCTATAATTATAACTTAGAGCTTGAAATACATGTTTCTTTAACTGCATAGCTAAATATTAAAAAATAATTTTATTTAACAAATCCCCTAAAGGTATGAAGTGCGGGCTTCACTTTTTCATGGAATAATGTTATTCCTTCAGCTTCAGCAGAAGCACTTGATAATGTAAACAAATTCCTTGCAATACAACAAAAAAACGATTGTCTCATTCTACTAAAAATAAAAACAACTTCACGTGTACAAAGTCGCGAACGCTGGCTTGTTAAAATACAAAATTTTAAGCTGTTTGTACATAGGAATTTAGAAATTGGTACTAATTTAATCATCTACCACTAGGTCTTAGGTTTTTTATACTTAACTGATCTGAGATTCTATTTTGACTCGAATATTTTGTTTTGACCTTGACCTTTGACTTAAAATATTCAGTTCCATGCGAATTGCTTTAACTACATACTAAAATTTGCGCGGAGTACTGTACATACATACATAGCTTTATTAATTTATTATCTCAATGGTGCGCGCTGGTGCAGTTATTTGTTAGTAAAGATGATAATAACAGAATTTCGACATCACAAAATTTAATTTATGGCTAGAAATACTTCCTGCATTAATCTCCGCGGCGCCGACATTCTCCGCACCCCGCCTCGCCGCGCCTCCGCGCCGCTTCAACGCGTCGCAAACCTCACTGTCGCTTCTTGCTTCTCGCTCCACGCGAAGGCGAACTTGTTCTGGCTTGACGTGGCAGCATTGTACATAATATTGTTACGCAGAACTCAATTGCCGTGTCATTTGTATTTATTTTCCGTGCCTTATCATTCTCTTTTAAAACAGTGACTCAATATGTAACTTTTAAGACAAAGTGACACTGCATTTGAATTCTACTTCACTTTGATCAAAGACACATTCGCTCAGGTCTTTGGTGCAACACTCAAATGTCTATAAAACGATGTTTATTACGTTCTGTTGCCTTAAGCGGTTGTAGAGAGGCTTTAATGGCGAGGGACCGTGATGAGATCACGAAATGCCGCGGTCTCCCGCGCGGCGGCGGACAGCTGTGACTGACGCATCAAACAAAATATCGTGTTGTTGTTGCGGATGCATGTGGCGACGGCGACGGCGGGCCGATTCGCACACACAATTAATTAATGCAGGCTGAGAACTTCTGCTTATCAACCAGTTGTTGAACTTGTGCCGCGAGTTATCGTTAGAGGTCACTGTCGCAATTACCTACAACTTACAAGATGAATTAATCCGCAGTAGCGGTGGCGCAGCGAATGCGCGAAGTCGCCACTGGTAGCCACGTGACGCCGTCTGACGCCACTTGACACCGCGGAACACTGAGTGACACCGAGTGACATCGAGTGACGCCCGCGCGTACGTCAACGGGAATGCATAAATGTTGGGCAAATAAAAATCTACCCTCAGTAAAGGTACCTTATATTTTAATTTATTACGGCGAGTGGAGCTGTTATTAGTTAGGACTAAAAATGTTTTTTCGTGTAAAAAAATCTCTATATATAGTATAGATACCGCCGCATCTTTTACTAAAAAAATAACATTCCCTACGAGCGGATATTCGTTTTGTTGCCTATAATAAACTAATGTAATTTCATTTTTTCTCACTCGTCAAAATCTATTTTTATATGGTTCTATCCTTCTAAATCTTCTCTTAATCATTATCTATTGCCAGTCGGGTTAAAATAACTCTTTTTACTTCTTAGGCATGAAATAAGCCGTCGCGAAAGTCTTAATATGAACAAACTGACTCCATCCCTGGCTTACTTATATCAAATTCGAGTACTTTCTACACCCCGAGCCGACACTGCGCTCGACACTCGACACTCCGTACTCAACCCTTCGCATCCATTATCTCATCCTACCCTTGTTAGGAATGGATGGGAAAGGAGAAGGGACCAACATACGATCTGCGTTACGTACTTTTATCGTCGGCGTCAAAACGCGGAATGAGTTTAATTTGACGCCTGCTATGTGTGTGGTCGCGGTATTGCATTGTTGTGGCCTCTATCACATATTGACAAGCCAAAAGACACGACGAGAAAGAGCGATGTAACGTACGTTTGTAACAAAAAGTACAATGCCACAAAGTAAACTTCAGTATCGTTGTTGTGTACCACCTTTGCTACAGCTCTAGTTATTATCAGATTTAAAATTAAACTTTCAATAGAATGAAATTTCATTTGAAGTTAGATTAGCTATACTAACTGACCTAAATACAAATATGATAGTTTTGCTTTTTTATTCAAAAAGGGAGCAAACGAACAACGCAGTCAACGGCTCCCATGGACAAATGTAATACCAGGGGAAGTGTAGATGCATTGCCGGCATTTAAGAAGATACGCTTGCTTCTTTAAGTACCTAAGTCGTAGCGGCTTAGAAATACCGCCTAGGGCACACCATTCCACAAAACGGCTATGCGAAGCAGAACTTTTTGATAGGTTTCATTCTTTTTTTCCAGAATCCAGGATATTAGCATTAGATAATGTTTTAAAACGGCGTAGACACGAGTGCATTGTTTATGCAAAGAATGCGTGAAGCGTTCGTTGACGGCGCATCGCGGGGGGCGACGAGGGCTCCATGGGCAATGCTGTTGTTGGCGCTGCTGTTCCTAAACGCGCCTCGCTCTCTCGCGCAAGACGACGAAAATCTCAGCCAGACGGGTAACATTTATTGACATTAACCGCATGATATTAGAGAAAAAAGTGTTTTATTGCTTACATTCCGCAACGATTTAATTTTTTATTATCGGAATTCAAGTTCTCAAATAAAAACGAAGGCCTTTACCATTGGCTAACAGCTTCTGTTACCATGGCAATCGTACTTCTTTGCTGCTATTGTTTTTGTTTTTAGTTTTGTCCCTTTTCCCCATGACCGTTTTTCAAAATTATTTAACTTAAATAGCGTAAAAATGTGTAGCCTTTAGCGTGACGTAAGTGTGCGGATTTTCATTAAAAAAAAATCATTCAAAACTATGTTGTGATGACTGAAATCCTACATAACAAAGAAGTGTGTGTTTTAATATTATATTGAATTTATATTTAAATGTTTGTTCTGTTTCGGAGCTTGAGGTTAACCTATTAAAAATGTTAGAGCAGTTATTGGCATTCGGCTAGGTCCAACGGCGCCGGTCACGTCGCATGTCTCGCAGCCGCACCACCCGCGTGCTGGCGATGTGAACGCGCCACTCTTACTTGCGTGTCAATTTGCAGGCAACGATTACAAGCGGTGTGTTCGGAGGCATGACCACAGAGAAGGTGTGTGCGTACATTTCACGCAGTGCTACAAAAACTACTCCCTGGCATTCGGCGGAAACCTCTTTAACTATGAGATCAGGTACGTAACACCGGATACTATTTAATTGTACATTATTGTGCACATTTATAGTTATGCGGAAGGTACGATAAATAAAAGCCCACAGCTTTTGTTCTGTTGTTAGTGTCGTGTTAGGGGAGGTATTGCTGCCATTTTCACCAACTGTGATGTGGTCAGTAATCACGTTTGAGTAAAATCTTTACATGTACTCAATAGTGTGCTCGTCGCACGTCGCACGTCGCACGTCACACGTCACACGTCACACGTCACACGTCACACGTCACACGTCACACGTCACACGTCACGCGTCACACGTCACACGTTGTTTTAGGATAGTTATAGATAAACTACTAATTAATTTGTTGCTAAGCTTTTTACAAGTAAAAAATATGTTTTCCTTGTTTCAGGGACGGCGAGCCTCCAATTAAGTATACATGTTGTTTTTAATATTACTATTAGAATAAAAAAAAACTTAACAAGTAGCCCATCTGTTTTTCCAAATAATACGAGTATTCTAGATCTCTGAATTAGAGCTACATTCGATGAGCTTCTCCGGAGATACCAACGTAGTAACAAACATCCATGCTGTCCATCATCCAAACTTTCGCTTTTACGATATTAATAAGATTTTATATAACCTGTGTATATTAAAAGTAAGATAAAAACTATATTATGGTATTACTTCACCATACTATGTGTAAATGCAATGTCCGTTTGATATTTCACACATATGACGTAATAATATTACTTATTACATAAACCATTGTTAAAAAGTTTGTAGGTGATGTATCTTTAAAGTCTTTAACCTACAGTGGGCTAGCGTGGTCGGGTGTGGCCCCGTCGGCCTTAACTGTAATAGGCTCAGAGTCTCGCGCTGGGCATGGCGTCTTATATTCAAAAATTGTAAGTACAAGTAAAAAGAGGTTTACGTGTTCGTATAATGTTAGTTATTTGTTTAGGGATTGCGGCCGCGACAAGTGGTGCTGCACAGATGACACCGACGTGACCGCGCCGCTCCCCACGCCGGCGCACCCCGCCGACGGCGGCGCCACGCCGGCCGCGGGGACGGGTGAGCGGCGCACACAGCGCACTACGCGCATTCATTCACCACGTTACTGCACGTCCAGTGAACGGGCTTCGTTTCCAAACAGACCGGCCCACTCTGAGAACGCAGTCGAGCGCCATGCTCTCTCTAACGATTACTTGTTTATTTTCTCGCAGGGAACTGTCTGCGAGCCTTCGACGTATGTCCGTGGTGCGTCGCCCTCTACAGGTTCGTTTCGACACGCCTCGTGCGGATCACTCCTTACTTACTAACTTACAATTTACAAGTCTTAGATGTGTGGTGTGTGACAGGCCGGGCGGCGACTTGAGCCGCGGTCATATCACGGAGTCCGGCCTGTACTGCGGCGGCGCGCTGGTCGGCCCCCGCGTGGTGCTCACCAGCGCCTCGTGCATCGCAACCGTCGGCGAGGAGAGCGTGTGGGCGCGCGTGCCGGCCTCCGCCGCGCCCGCGCGCCGCTACTCCGTGCTCGACAGGCTGCGCCACGCCGGCTACAACTCCGGTGAGCTCGCCGGCTGGCGACGGGGCAAGGGCTGCACTTATTAGTGATACTAACCCTAACTGTCGTTAGCACCGCTGTTTTTGCTCTCAACTCTGAAACATTTACTTGCGACCTCTACTTTCCGCTGATGCTGCAAACGAAGCTAAGTGACTTTAATAAAAAAATTATAATGAAACGCGGATGTCGCCATGCCCGTAGTACTCCCGACGCCGGATCCATACTCGGTTCTAGCAGAAAAAACGGTTGGTTTTAAAATTGGCCTATAATTTCAGGTAACGGCAAAAACGACTTTGGACTTATGGTCTTAAAGGATTCAGTCGAGTTCGCAGCGAGCCCCTTCAGTGCATGCGTCAGCTTGTCGCCGCCGCCCGCCGCCGGCTGCCGCGCCGTCGGCTTCGACAACCTCGAACGAGTCGTGCTGGTGAGTCAGAGCGAGCTTTGTCTTTGTAAGGCAAAAAGACAATGTAATAAAATGGATATCACACGACAAGGCTAGAAAGGGCAGAAGCCCTTGTGCTAAAATAAAAAAAACGAACTATACAATGCTGAGTATAATAAAATGTTTAGACGCCGGTGTCCCTGCGTGACGGAGACTGTCCGCCGCGCAACCGCTCCATCCCGGACCTGACGTGCGCCGCGGCCGCCGCGCCTTCATCCACATGCCACATCTCGCCCGGCGCGCCCCTGCTCTGCCCCGCCGGCGACGCCCAGGTGCATCCCCGCCCTACGCTTTTTTGCTTACTTTCTTATCTCCATAAAAGGTTTAAACGGTGGAATACCAATATCCCACTCGCCCTGTGAAACACCACGACCGCACGGAAGAGATAATTAAAGTAGAAGCAATTCCGCATTGTGTCTGATTAGTGTCCGTGCCGAGACTTAATTAAATTTTCTCATTCACCCTTTTGCTAAAAGGTAATTAAATCTCCCTATGGAATCATTTCCATCGACCGACAAGTGATTTTGACGTAATGTCCTTTTCTCTGTGCCCTCCTCCGTCGATTACAGGTTAGAAACGTATCTGTAATTACAAAATTCCTGCCGTTTGATCGAATAACACCTTATCTACATATAATATTATAATAAAGCTTAGACACTTCTTTGTTGCCTAAGATGTCAGCAATTACAGCATATTTTGGAATAATTCTTTCTTTAATAAAAAGCCCTACACTTAGGTACGTCAGGCTTTAAGCTATATATTTTCACGCCATTAACTTAGGGGTAAATATTTTGGATAAAAACCCTAATGTGGGAAAGAGACCATAAGTCACTGCCAACATCAAGGAAACAAGATTGCCTTGGTTTGTAATGTCATGTCATTTGACATTTGCTATTTATAATTACACAAATGTAAAAAATGAAACGGGAACAGCTATAACTACAGCATTATGTCAAATCATATAGTAACAGATCGCACGAAATGCTTTGCTGTCGCTCATTTTCTAAACATTGTCCAATGTGTCAGGGCGGGCTTGCGCTGAGCGGCGTGGTGCGGCGCGCCTGCCGGGCGGGCTCCGCGCACGTCGGCAAGCTGCAGCCGCACGCGGAGTGGCTGCAGCTGCAGCTGCGCCGGCTCGGCGTGCCCGACTGGCAGTACGCGCTCTAGCCGCCGCCGCCGCCGCCGCGCATTGCAGCCGAGCGCGGCAAACTTTACACAAAAAACAATTATAACATTTAGTTTAACTCGTATTACTAATGTTGTCATTTTTATTTAATTATAGATTACCCATAGACGTAAGTTCAATAAACATTGCTTAGTAACACTCGTTGTATGTATTTAAGTTGTATATTATTGTCTCGCTTCACCAAATATGTTATAAATTATTATAAGTGCCTGTCCCACTACTGGCTGATAGAGGCTCAGATAGCTCCACAATAATAACGCCACTGTCAGATAGAGTAACAAAATCCGATGTTTCCATCATATATTTTAGACGTTTGATTGCTATTTGCTAATTTATAAGAATTTGGTAGGACTGACTCTGAATATTTTGTCGCACTCCCGTACGCCATAACTCACATACGAGCTAATTACCGACCCCTGAGGTAAACTTATTCAATATAGGTATCGAATTTGCTCGACGGCGTTATTTGTTAATTTGGTTATAGTCGATACTTGTAGGCAAAGCTGTGACCTTGGCGCCGTGCGTGTAGCATGATGTATGCACATACACATAGTACATCGTCCACACGTCTAAATATATCTCGTAAAACGCCCGGCAAACATCTTGAACAATACATTTAGTTGC